AGAGTTAATCACTATCTTAAATTTGATGTTAATTGTGGTTTTGATTTTTTGGGATAATTTTCCATTTTTCTTATATACTCTTGAATAATATATTGTTTCCCTTTTCAGAGTTTTGTGTAAGTGTATTTGTGTTTCTCTTACACAGTAATGACTACATTTATCTGGTATATAATCTCTTTTTTTTTGGGTTATGGCATATGTGCACTCTTCCCCCCTTTTTTCTTTTTCCCCACTAGTTTATTTACAAAATTCTAGTACAAATTTGAACAAATTCTTTCAATTTCCCACCTTCCCCATCAAATTGTACAACCAACCCAGTGATTAATACCCTCTTACCCCTGTACATCCACATCGCTCTGCTTCCAGCCTCTCCCACCTCTGCTGGATCCTTATACTCATTCTACAATAATGGTCTTATACATTATTTATCCTTGTGGGACTGAGTTAGTTCACTCAGCATAATGCTCTCTAGTTTCTCCTAAGTTAGGTAATCATTTAAAAACTTATGCGATTTCTTTCTTGTAGACTAGAGTCATTATACAAAAACTAACATGACATAGAAATAGAGGATTAGCATATCAAGTCACAGAAAGGAGGATGACGACATTGTGATATCATGACATCACTGTCAAGTTAGCACAGAACCTTAGCCATTACAGCCACCGCTATCCTTGCTTCATAATTTAGTATGCATTACTGGCAGATACATTATTATTGTGGAAAATATTCAGACAGTAGACTCTTGGCTTCTGACATAAACATAAAATATCAGCTATTGAGGTAGTTGACAAGTGAAAGGATAAAGCTTATGAGGCCAGAGATTTTTGGCTTGTCTTTCCAACATATGCAAACGTGCTTGACACTTAAATGAACATCTCCAAGAATGCTGATATATGGGCAAGTAATTCTTTCCCCTCCTGCACAACTTTTAACACTTTTAAAGAACATCTTGATTGTTCCCTATGCTTTTACTCTACCTACTTTCCTCTTTGATATCAACAACTAAAAGCAATCTAAAGCAAAAGGAGAAAAAGGGAAGGTCTTTAGCTTTCTTCCCTAGCCATGATCCTGTGGTAGGAACTGAGGAGAAGGCAGTGGGGCGAGAAGTTGGGTAACTGGCTCCAGCTTTTATGATCCATTTTGCTACTGGAAATGCCTCTTTCCCCCTCTGTTTATCCTGGCAAGATGAACTGGCAGGATCTTGAGTTTATAGCATGCTCACTTATTATGAAGTGAAAGCTTATTATGTCTTTGAATTTTAAGGTGGCAAACCCTGCAAGGAGAAGAATGAACACTTTGATTTAGCAAGTATGGAAACACAAACCTCAGCTTTAAATGATGTGCGACTGGGCAGAACTCTGGAGCTGTGGAGTCATCTCGGGGTGAATGCTTTGACTATTCATAGAAATTCTGTCAGAGAAGAGACTCTGCCTTACTTCATGCTAACTTGGTGAGCCAAGCCACTCTGGAAGGAATGCATATGAGGTTTTCAGATGAGGACTGCAAGTTTCACTGGTTGGAATCACTGTTGATTCAAACCATCTGTTGATGTGTAGCTGACCACAGCACTTTTTTCATGCGTCGCTCTTAATATACATCAATTCAATAGGATAAAAATTTGTTGGGACCCTTGGAGTGCCAGGTATTAGGGGTATAAGGATAAATGACACAGTGGGCTCTGTTTTTTGAAATGCCTGTGGTTTAGAATATGTAAAAGATACATGTTTGTGTGTGTTTTCCTTCAAATTTCCTACAAATCCAAATTAGGATTTGTAATTTATATGCATTTCAGTTGCCCAGACTGAGTACTGCATCACTAAATTTTTGTTGATGAAATGAATATATAAAATAACCCACAGTAATTTATGAAGTATGGCTACTTAAATACTTAACTATTATTGGGCATTTCTGACACCTGGAAAACACTGTTCAGTGTATTAGCGACCAAAGTTATGGTGTGAGAAAACAATGAAGAATCTCAAATGGTGACAGTTTCATTCCCTGAGGCTTAAAATAGTTTTAAAAATTGGACATGCTGCAAGGCAGGACCAGTGCTTGGAGAGGGACGTCATGCTTGGGAGGGTGGAGGGACAGCACAGGAGAGAAAGACCCTTCATAAGATGGAATGATTCAGTGACTGGGGTAATGGGGGTACATGTGTCAAAGACAATCAGACTGGCACAGAATAAAGAAAGGTTCAGGGCTGTTGTACATAGGGTCACTACGAGCCACAGGCAACTTGATGGCATGTAACGACAATGAAAAAGCAGTATATTTTCATATGTGTTAGTCTTTTTTGTCTGTTTCTTTTCCCATTTTTAGTTTTAGAATTTTTTTTCCTAATGAATTGACATAAATTCTATCTTGACAGTAATGGGGTTTGTAGTTAATGTAAACTTTCCTCCTACTTCTTGGCTGCATAATAATTTTGTGATTTTTTTAGGTGCATAATTTCTTATTTTTTATAGCCAAATGTTTGAATTATTTTTGGTAGAAATTATTATTTTAAATTTCCTCCCTATCCAGAGAACAAGGAGCCCAGTGGTATTATGATTAAGGATTGGGTCGCTTATTGAAACTTTGGCCAAGCTGCTATGTGAGAGGAAAGTGCAGTTGTCTGTTTCTGTAAAGAGATCAGCCTTGAAAAACTTAGGCAGTTCTACCCTGTCGATAGAGTTGATGTGAGTTGGAATTCACTCGATGGAACTGGGTTTGGTTTGGGGTTTATTCAGTAAGATCTGTGCTTTGGGTCTGCTCAGGTAGCTCACGATCTTTCAGTCGTTCTCTAATGGACCAGGTGATGTTACTCATGTTCTGATACGGACAGAAATGAAGGTCACATTCTGCTGTCATGCTAGAGCATAATTATTACATGATGTAATTATTAGCACTGTCCCTTATGAGGCGACCTTTCAAAGTTAATTAACTATTAACTTCTCTTTCTTCTGTTTCATTGTCAAATAAAAAGAAAAAAAAATCAGTAAAATAGTTTCAACAATTAAGCTATCTTATACTATTAGGAAAGATGTATCAATGATGGATGTATCAATTAACTAGATTGGTGTTGTTCCAAGCAGTATTAACTACATTTTGTCTCTATTCGATCTATGCTAATAAGAAACTTGAATAATGTTTAAATACACTACACACTTCTTAAGAATCAATACTCCAGAGTGCTATTCATCTTGGGTAGTTTTATTAGATTATCTTCACTAAAGGAACTCTGGTGGCTTAGTGGTAATGAGTTGCCAACCGCAAGGTAAGCGATTCAAATGCACCAGCTGCTAGGTGGGAGAAGGCCGGGCAATCTAGCTATCTAACTTTCCCTTCTGCAACAACATCCTTCTGTCACTTTTGTAAGTGCGACTCGCCCCCTAGTGTCCACAGGTGGCATGTGTTTCTGGCTTTTGAAAATCCTGCGGGCAGCGAGCTGGGCAGGTCTGGCGCACCGGGGCGGAACCTTAAGATACGTCGTTGGTGAATCCAATTCTCCCCAGTGCTTTCCATTTCTTCGTTCTTATTTTCTCTTCGATCCTGATTTCTTCCAGTTTTTGGACGCCAGAAGTGATTTTTAGGTATGCGTGTCCACACATTTTAGTTCATCCTACAAGTATTTATTACATTGGGGCCCACGTCGGAAGGCATTGTGCAGAAACAAAGTGAAATGAACGTGAGATCTGCCTGTATAGAGTTTGCCATTCAACAGAAAAAATAAAGTATCTAGTACACAGCTGGACAAATGATTATCTTTTAGCTTCCGTTTTTTCATATATACAACTTTATATGACTGCTGAAAGGTTAAACTAAAGACCCTGTGAGCTCAATGTCCTCACTCCTTCACATCGAAAGCAATCAATGCCACAGCTGCACGTTAGAGCACAGCACTTTCCTCAATCTGAGCAATTTTAGTGTCCCCAAACAAAGTTATATTGGCTCATCCTTCAGCTTTATTTTGCAGCCAGCATTCTGACACTCAGGTTTCAAATGTCAAAACCTGCCAACTCTTAAAAAAGTAAAATAACAACAACAACAACAACAACCCAATATACATGAGATGCTCTTCAACATATGGAATAATCTTCCCTCACTGGAAAAAAACTCCAAACCAATAACAAATATATTTGGGCTTAAAATATTTTGCGTTGCCTAACTATACTAGAAACCCGTAGAAGTGCCTCACGGAGCATGCGCAAGGCTCGAGCTGGGCAGACAGGACCTTTGGGGGCGGGCCTTGGGTAAAAATTGCTTCCTTTTCCGGCTCCATATGAAATCTCCCGCCACCTGTAGCCAACGTTTGCGTATTTCTCCCACTTGTCGGGTTGTAGGTAAGAGAAACTTCTGTGGATTGTAAAATGGAGAACAATCCTGACATTGACGTAGAGGAAAAAGGGAGAACACTTTGCAGACCATGGCAGAAGGACTGAGTAGTCAGGGCCAGGCTTGGTGGGGTGCCGGCGAGAGTTTAGGGGACGCAGGTGGGAGTTAGGAGTCGGGGCATAAATGGAGGACTTGTGTAGGGTTCCTAAAAGGACTTTCAAAAGATAGTTGTATTTCTGGAGGTCATAAGAAGGGGTGTAGCTGAATCTGGTTCAAGAGTGTCTTTTCTAGCTGTAATGTACCCTGTGTTCAGGATTGCAGGATTGGTAAAGCCTCGTCCAGTTTCTTGGGACTGCAGAGATATAAGATGGTAGCATGTTGAAATGTCGTGAGCAATTCAAGATCAAGCTCAGATTGTAACATGACATTTGTGTTGCTGGAATTAGGATCATTGCTCTGAAACTCTTCCAGCAACCCCTTCACTTCAGCCCATTGCAGAATTAAGTATAGCTGTAGAAAAAGATGGGAAATAAAGAAAAACACTACCCAGAGAAACCCATTGTTGATATTTTGTACGTGCTCTCTTTTCCCTATGCATGTCACATCATTTGAATTTGGTGTATTCCCCCCACCCCCCATCTAATTTTCCATCATTTTAACTTTTTTCTCTTCCCAAGGTGACCAAGATGGAGTTTTCTGGAAGACAGCGGAGAAAACTGAGGTTGGCAGGTGACCAGAGAAATGCTCACTACCCTCATAGCCTTCAGTTTTACCTCCAGCCACCAACTGAAAACATTTCTTTGATTGAGTTTGAAAACTTGGCTATTGATAGAGTTAAATGTGAGTGCTAGTTAAATAAGGATTCATATTTACTTGAGTAACTTCCTTAATGGTTTATGGGAATGAATGATGATTTCCATTGTGTCTTTAGCAATTCATTTCAGAATTAACTGAGAGTTTGGTATTTGTTCATTTGTTTACTGTGCAATTCATATTTATTATGATTGTTTTAAATGTCAAATTTTGAGATGAATAATGTAACTCCCATTATCATTGAGGCTCCAAAATAGTAATCATAATTTGAAATTTTAAGTACCTTAGTAGAGGTACCCCTAGACAGACAGTTTAATCCACCAAATGGTCCTAAGTGGAAAGATGGGTTATTTCCTGTTGTGTGATTGATGATATCTGAAAACCTGTGGAGTCGTCTGTGAGGTGGTTCCTACTGGATGATAATGAATGAGTGCGGATTATGAGTTATGATTGTATTTGGACAATTTGGATATGAAGAGTGAGGGAGGAGGGTCAGGGTAGTCAGAGTTGGTGTTTGGCTGATATGGTGCATGGAGATTATTCTCATGAAAAGAGGAAGACAAAAGAAGTAGACTGATGGGAAGATAAATATTTTGGGACAAGATATTTAGTAGTTGTGGGACCTGGATTAATGAACAGAATGCAATGGATAAGGTTTTTGTTCTTGAATAATCCTCTCCTATTGATCAGAGTATGTAGGGAAGGGCAAGGGCTCCCCTCTCCCCCACCCAGGGAGCTTGGCTGGCCTGATCATAAGAATCTGTGCTGCAATACCAATACCAAAGGGACACAGCCTGAATCCACTAGCTACTCCATGGGAGAAGGAAGGGCATTCTCCTCCTATGTGATTAACTGCCTCTGAAAACCTGCCGGAAGATCAGCAGCTATGGGTCTGCTCTGACTCAATGGCATACCACAACAAGGGGCTTTAGGAATCCTTGGGTAATAATGCATTTATATTCAGGACTGTTCATTTAGATGACTGTCTTGCATTGTATCTACACTATTACATCCTTTTTGCTTAAGAATTTGTATGTGTGTGTAGATGTATCTGGTAAGTGAATTAAACTCACTTCTGTCAAGTTGAGCGCAACTCATTTTGATCCTCCATTGGGCTAATGAGGTTGTAAGTGCCTGTGTGAGGAGACTGCTTGTTTTTCTTCCATGAATCAACGATTAGATTTAACTGCCAAACTTCTGGTGAGCAGCCTGATACTGTGATCCCTAATAGATAGCTCCATCTGAAAGATGGATGTAATAGTGCTTTTTCCTTTCCCTGTTCTCTTTTACACTGGAAAGGTACAGTCTGTCCTTGTCAACGGTGGCTCAATATTATCCCTGATTCCTTCCTTTTTCTTGGTTTGAGAATCCCTGAGATTAGATAATATTGTTTGTTGTGGAATGTGCTTTTGTAAGTAGATTGATACTGTCTTCCTGCAAGCATATATAATTTATATACTTACAGAAAAGAAAACCCATGTTTTCTAAAAATAAGCAATTATGCAACTTCTAAGGAATCCTCCATTTTATTTGCTTTAAAATTAATTACATACATTTTTATCTTATATTTCCCCCCTCTTTTTTAGTGCTAAAATCAGTTGAAAATCTTGGAGTGAGTCTTGTGAAGGGAACTGAAGGATACCAGAATAAGTTAGAACAAGAACTTCGAAGACTCAAGTTTTCCTACAGAGTAAGTAAAATAGGGGTTGGGGGAAACGCCTTCGGTTTACATATTTTATGAATTGAGTATCTATGGTATGACAAGTCTTGTATTAGGCAGAGTTTTGCTATTGTTGTTAGGTGTCATCAAGTTGAATACAACTCATAGCAACCCTTTGAACAACATATAAACACTACTCCATCCTGTGCCATCCTTTGATCTCTGACCTGCTCAAGCTCACTCTGCTAGCCACTGTGTGAGGCCATCTCATTGAGGGTTTTCCTCTCTTTCGCTCTCTATCTTTCCTACCATGATGTGTCTCTCTAAGCATCGGTTCCTTCTGAAAACAGACCCAAAGTAAGTGGTATAAATGAAAGATGTTGAGAGTTTATGAAAAATTGAATACCTGGGCATAGGCCAGATTAAAAAAAAATTAAGTGAAGTGTGATTAAAAACCTCATTGTTGTTGAGCTCGAATCAGCTGAGAGCTGACCTTCTAGCAGGCTGTAAATCAGGGAGGAGACTGCCTGTTTTTCTCCTGGGGAGCTGCTGAGGGGTTCAGGCTGCCAGAGAGACATGGCCTTTTGGGCTCGCAGTACAGCTCTCTTTAGATTAGGCCTGCAGAGCTCTGGGGAGGGGGGAGCAACCAGTAGTGCTAAAATATGGCAAGTTTTATTGAGGCTTTATATCTGCTTAATTAGTAGTTATACCAGAAACTATATTATGAAATTTATAATTTTGAAATTTTTAACTGTACCATTGGCTTTTCCCTACTCAGTATTTCTTTATTTTTCTTACCATTCGAATGTATTTATTTTATCTATGTTCTTGTTTTTTAAGGAAAACTTAGAAGATGAATATGAACCTCGAAGAAAAGATCATATATCTCATTTTATTTTGCGCCTTGCTTATTGCCAGTCGTGAGTATACATCTAAACTTTCTCAGAAAAATCTGCTTTCTTGGTTTGCAAATTGGTGCCTGGAGAGTTGACATGTGCTATAGTGGCTGTGGGGAGACTCAGAATATTATCAGGGACTTGTGGGACACATATTGATATTCTTTGACTTCTTTCCAATTGTTTCTGCCACTCACTCCCCCCTTTTGCTTTTAAGTGACAGTAAATGCCTGAGCCTGGCTCGTTTTCATTCTCTACTGAAGTATCTGCCTTAAAATGTGGCAGCTTGTGATTACACAGTAAACCTTCCTTTCTCTGTGGTTAGAGATGTGCGTTGTAAGTGTAAGTACTGATTGAAAGTTTATTTGAATACTGTGGTAGTAAATTGTCTGAGACACATTTAATAAAAAATAAGATGAAATCACCCATTTCAGTATTTTGTTGAAACACTTCATAACCTTACGAGAGAGATTTGAGATTAAAAATGATAAATAATTTAGAAAAAAGGACTTTTGGTACCTATTTTTTTCAGGAAAAAAGTAGTACAAGAAATAATCACAACATACATAGGTTTGTTTTGTTTTTGGAAGTTGAATTGTGTAGGTCCATTAGTTCTAGGACCAGCCTGTAATAATTGGTTTTTTATAAGTCAACAGTGCCACCTAGAGGGAGAGATAGTTAATGTCCTTTTTTTCTTATCACGAATAAGGGGTTTATTAGGGAATGAACAGGCTACAATTGAGATTGGCAATAGGCTGCAATTTCTGAGTCAGGATAGCTTCTGAAAGTAGGCTACCAGGTCTTTTAGCCTCTAGTCTTGCGGACTTAAGCCTGTGGGACAAAGCTCTCTTCTTTGAGACGCTGAGGAATCTTTCTCTTAAGAGTAACTTGTGGGCTTTGAGGCATTCTTGGCCAAAGCCCCAGAAGAGTTACCTGCATTGAATAGCCATGTTCAAGAGGCACAGTCTTTGCTAGAATAAACAATTGAGCTGGCTGAAAGAGAAGAGAAAGGTGGGAATCTCCTGACCCTTCATGTTGGGAAGTAATCCCTGCCTGAGTCTAGATTTCATCAGAATGTATGGTTTACCTCCAAGTCCTGAGGAAGCTGGTGGAAGAGTTCAGTGATTCTGGAATTCTCTGGATTTTGGTCTGAGCGGCAGCAGGGGGCCTTCTGGGAGTACTCCTTCTTCACTTTTCTGTCTGCCACTGACTCCCCAAATCCTACCAGTGTGTACAGGTCCATCTGTAAGAACCTCTAGGTCACTGCCATGGTCTGACAGTGGCTCACTTGGTACCTCAGCTCCCCAGTCCTTCCTCGGTGCTTTGTTTTCTCTTTTGTTTCTTGGAGAAAACAAATGTTTACAAAAGGTTACACTAACCACTGGGGCTGCTAAACTGGCAACCAGTTGGGCCTGGCACCTTCGATGAGTTTTGTGGCTCCCATCAGTAGAGAGCAGGAGCTGGGCAGGACGTGGGGTAGATGCTTGCCACCTTCCCTCTCCTACTCCAGGGCTGATGCAGTGACCCCTCTACTGGCCACAGTGAGTTGGCATGGTGGGAGCCAAAGGCTGCAGTCAAGGACAGGCTTCTACCCCTGTTCCTAAGAAAGCAGCAGTGGGGCAGAAGAGCCAAGTCTAGGAAATCAATATCCAGTTGGGATGTTCAGTCACCAGACAGCAGTATTCTCAGGGTGAGCATATTCCCAGGAATAGCATGTCCAAGCCTGAGCCACTGACACAGGAGGCGGTCAGCAGAGAAGTCAGGTCTTCCCATGTGGCTCGAGGGACACTAGCCATTCTGGTTGTCTGTTACACAGTGCACTGGAAGGGTAGCTGTAGACCAGCTACTGGTCCATCAGTGTCCAAGGGTCTTTTTTTGGGAAGTATTCCGCAAGAAGCCACTGCAAATGGCCTTGTGCACCTAGACTCTGGACTTTTAAAAAATTGTATATTTCCCTCATATTAATTTTGGCCAAGTAATGCATTTATGATAATTTTCTTCATTATTGTAGGCTTATTAAGTGACAATCTTAAGTTGTTTACAATCTCAGTATAATAATAATAATTAATAATAATAACAATGATAGTAATTGAGGAATTATTCACTGGCTTTTGCTCTGGAGTTCTGTCTTTTGCAGAAAACCATATAGCTTGTTGGACTTGTGCAGTGAATGAATTGCTAGCGATCTGTGAAAGTCATCTTGAGACAATATGATCAGATTATAAAAACAATTTATAGCTTAAGACTCTCTCTGATTGCCATTGAGTTGGAACCCACTCTTAGCTGGACTTCCTGTGGATTTTTGGAAGGTATAAATCACATCTGGGAGGAGATTGTCCATTTTTCTCCTGTTGAACCACTGGTGAATTCAAACTGCCAGAGAGGCTCTGCTTTGAGGTTAGCACAGCTCCCTGTGGGCTGCACCACTTGAGCTCCCTAGCTTCAAAATAATGTGTTAGTATTGCTTAAATGAATATATTTGCAACAACGTATTAACTCCAGTTAGAATCTTACCTATGCTTGAATACTGCTTCAGAAAAGTTTCTGAAATTAGGAAATTTTTGAACTTAGTTATATTAAAATGTCTCTGCCTTCATTTCAGTGAGGATCTTAGACGCTGGTTCATACAACAAGAGATGGATCTCCTTCGATTTCGATTCAGCATTTTACCTAAGGACAAGATTCAAGACTTCTTAAAGGATAGCCATTTGCAGTTTGAGGCTGTAAGTACATGTTTGTTCTTTCTAATGACCTTCACTCTTTGTCTCTGTCTTGTGCTCTTAGGTGCTGGTAGTGATGAGCAGTCGTTCTCTTGGCATTTTCTTCCTAAAAGCGTAGATAGCCAGTGATTTTGTGCAACAGCAAGCCCTTCTCCTTCCCTTAGTACAGACGACCTCATATTTAGTGGCTTACTTATGAAATCTTTGATGTAATGAAATTAAAAAAGGAGCCTTGGTGGTGCAACATTTAAGCACTGGGCTACGAACTTGGCTTCAAACTGGTGGTTTGAACCTACTCAACTTTTTTTCTTTTTTATTATTATACTAGTTTATTTACAAAATTTGAGTACACTGTTTTGCAGAACAAATTCTTCAAATTTCCCTCACCCCTCCATCAAATTGTACCATACCATGATTAATCCTTCCTCCCCTTGCACATTCTCATCCCTCTGCTTCTACCCTCCGCCCTTCTTTGGATCTTTATACTCATTCTACAATAATGATTTTATATAATATTTGTCCTTGTGGGACTGAGTTAGTTCACTCATCATAATGCTCTCCAGTCCCTCCCAAGTTAGGTAATAATTTACAAAATCATTGCTCCTGCGTGCTGCATAGTATTCCATTTTGTGAATGTACCATAATTTTTCAGTCCATTTGTTTGTGATTGGACATCTGTGCTGTTTACATGTTCTTGCGATGGTGAATAACACCACTATGAATATTGATGTACAAGTTTCCATTTGTGCCTCAGTTCTCATTTTCTCAGGGTATATTCCAAATAGTGGAATAGCTGGGTCATATGGAATTTCTATGTTCAGCTTTTGAGTAAGTGCCAAACTACCTTCCAGAATCCACCCAGCTGTTGTGTGGGTGAACTGGAAAACTCTGGGCAGTTCTTTTCTGCCACATGGGATTATTATGATTAGAAATCACTTTGATGACCCCACACAGCCGCAGAGTGCTACAAACTGCTTAGCTTATAAATGTTAATCTATAACTAAACTATCATAGGCCAAAACATTAAAACTAATAATGTATTAAAGAAAATAGACAGGCTTTAGGTACTTATTTGCAGTGGTGAAGGTTGTTGTTGATTGTCTTCAAGTTGAGCATGACTCATGGCGACCCTATAAGCAAAAGGCCTGAAGCCTGTATAGAATTATTGACAAAATTCATAGAGTTTCCAGAGGCATGTTGTTTAGGAAGTGAATGCCGTGGAGAAGGTAGTGGGGATAATATTTTAAAAATTTGTTGCCTGTAAAATCTGGTTAACTAGTCAGTATTAAAAGTAGATTTGCAAACAAATTGGAATGATTTCTCTAATGTAACATTACTGAATGATGTGTGAGCAGAGAGAGAATTTATGCCTGTTAGATCGCTCTTTGCTGCAATGGTAGTAATGAGATGTTGGTAGGACTGGTTATGACTGTATTTTAATATTTAATAGGGAGCTGAAGCTAAAATAAGAAAGTAAAAGTTGGAGCATATACAATAGTTAGTGTCTGGAGTTTTAAGAAAGTACATTTTTAGTTTCTCTCATTTACTCCAGACTGACATGGTTGCTTTTCAGTCTCATTTATGTCTCCTAACAATCCTATGAGATTCTTCTGAAGGCTGCTAAGAAAACTTAGAAGGTGTCGAGACGAGTGCCAGCTGCAGAATCATCTGACCCCAAAATATGTGCATCTTCCATTTTGCTTTTAACTTTCATCTTTAAAGATGTCAATTACTAATATCAGTTGTAGTAAATGTTAATTTATCCTTTCTGTTGTTATGTGCTGTCCTGTCGCCTATGGCTCACAGCGACCCTGTGTGCAACAGCCCTAAATCCCACTCTATCTTGTGCCAATCTCACTGTCTCCGACACACAGATCTCCATGATTCTAGTCCCTGTATCAATCCATCTCATCAAGGGTCTTCCTCTCCTGTGCTGTGTCCCTCCAGCCTCCTAAACATGATGTCCCTCTCTAAGGACTGGTACCTCCTTGCAACATGTCCAAAGTATGTCAGACAGAGCTTCAGAATCCTTGCCTCCAAGGAGCAGCCTGGTTTAACCCTATCCAGGATGAATCTGTTCTCTTAGCAGTCCGTGGTATATCTAATATTCTTTTCCAACACCACAGCCCAAAGGCATAAATTCTTCTATCTTCCCTAGTCATTATCCAGCCCTTTGATGCATAGCAAGTGATTGCAAAGACCATGGTCTGTATCAGGTGCAACTTAGTCTCTGGACTGACATTATTCTCTTCAGAACTTTGGAGAGGTCTCTGACAGCAGGTTTTCCCAAATGCAGTATGCCTTTTAATTTCCTGGCTGCTGGTGCCAAGAGTATTGATTGTGGAGCCAAGCAAACTAAAGCTGTTAACAATCTCAGTCTCTTCACCATTTATCATGATGCTGCCAATTGGCCCAGTGGTGAGAATCTTTGTTTTCTTGATGTTGAGCTTCAATCCATATTGAAGGCTGCAATCGACCTTCTGCAACAAGTGCTCCAGGTTCTCAGTTTCAGCAAGCAGGGTTATGTTATCTGCATAACGCAGATTGGGTTTTTTAAATTGTTGAAATTGCTGATTTTCTTAAGTCAAACAGAAAAATGGGCTTGAGAAGATTTGTCCTAAATTGTGCAAATCTGAAAGAATATTTTTTTCAATGAGAAAGGGAACTGCGGGGGTGAGTAAGGAGGAAAATGTGTAACAATATATGAATGGGAAAAAAAAGTATTTAAAATACAGTTGTAAAGAAAAAAACCCAGTACTGGTAAACATAATCTAATGTTTTAAACTGTATACTTACCAAAGTAATTTATTTCACCCCCTTCTTTGTAGGTAGTAACAAATGTGTGAATTGGTGAATAATATGTAGTTGGATGTTTCTTTTTTCTTAATGATATACAATAAAATTAAGAAATTTGAACAAAACACAAACAAAAAAAGATCAGTTCTTTGTTCTTGGGTATCTCCAGGGAGCTCCAGTGGCACAGTCTGAGGGATTTATGCTGCTCACCCAAAGGCTGTGCTTGTCTTTCAGTTTGTTCTCTCAGTGACTCTGTGCAAGAAAGACGGGCAGTCTCCTCCTGTGTCATTTATAACCTGACAAACCTGATGGAGGGCCAGCTCTGAGTCAGTTCTTACACAGCAGTCATGCATTTTAAAATGAGCATATTTCTACATGTTGTCAAATTTAAGGGTTTTTTTTTGTCATAGCTTTATTGAGATGGAATCGCATACCATGAAAGTTACCTTATTGAAGTGTATAATTCAGTGTTTGTGACAGTTGTGCAGCCATCCTCACTGTTTAGTTTTAGAACATTTCACCCCTCCTTAAAAAGAAACCTCTGTGCCCTGTTAGTAGTTACTTCCTGTCTTCCACCTCCCCAGTCCTTGGCAATCTTTAATGTGCTTTCTATCTCTATGAATTTGCTCATTCTAGATGTTTTCTGTGATTAACAAGTATGCTCCTTATTTTTACTCTCTTTTTTACCTCCCCCCCCAAATAGTTTATTGTCATTTGGTTGAAAGTTTATGCAACAGTTTATGTGCATTGGATTTTGTGACATTAGTTGCAGTCCTCTCAATGATACAGTACTTTTTCTACCCAGTTGCCCACTTTGTTGATTTTGTAGTTAGTGGTTCAAGTCCTTTATCTTTGACCCAAGATCCTTTATTTTATTCTCACTTACAGGACATAATAATGAATTAACTTACTGCCTTGTAAGTATTATAACATTAAATTTGAGACCTAACAATCAGTTATGTGACTTTAGATCAATTTTCTGTTTTCTGTTTTGATTTCTTATTCTTTAAAATAGGGATAATAATAATAACCTTTGCTTCAGGGATTTATTGGCTTTGGTAAGAATTATTAGTACTGTGCCTGGTAACTCGTGGTGCTATGATGCTAAACACTGTGACACTGATGTGTCAAATGTGATAATGGTTCCCCATGGTGGACTGTATTTGGTGGAGCTCCCTGATTAAAACAAGCTTGGAAGCAAGAGTGCATCCATTTCCAAAATAACTTGCCTCCGGAAACTCTATGACTTTGGAGAAATGATGAAAGTTATACAAGTGTTCAGGTCTTTTGTTCATAGGGTTGCTATGAGTTATCTATGACTCGACAACATTTAACAACAACAACAACAATAATGTGGAAAGTGTAAATGCAGCAAATGCTCATGTGTTAGAAAAGTCTGAGAGCAATGAGATTGACCTATTTTAGTGCAGTTAAAAAAATCTATTTTAGGTCTTTTATTTTGGAATCTCTTAGAATTGGTCTGATAGCAGTGCTTTTTTTCCTTTTTTTGACGTATTTTAGGGAATTAATTTGATGGAAAATACGTGCATAATTTTAATGAGTGTGTTGGCAATCACTAGCATGGTTTTCAGTATTAGTCTGATTATTTAAACTTTGTGTACTGTAATGACTGTTGGTATACTCACATCCTGTTTCATTCTAGTCCTTTGAGATGTGTTATAAAAGACATTGGGAGGATGGTACCAAAAAAGGGCAAGGTTCAGATCTGTTGATTGCTGTAAGTTGTGGTTGACTCAACAGCACCTAACAACAATAATAATAAATGTATACATTTACGTAAGGTGTGGAGATATGAATAAAATTGGGATTCTCTTGAAAGAAAATGAAAAATCATGCTTGTATGGCACTAGGTCCTTCAGGAAATAGTAACTTGGGCTGCATATTGTGTGACTGTTTTGGTTTTTCTTAGTTCATTAATTCTTATTGGAAATAGAGTGATGAGATAATCCTCCATACTGTATTTTTTAGAACTTTGGGGTATGTAGCATGTAAAAACAAAATCATGCCTTTTGATTTAGTAACATAAAGCACAGGCTGTGAAGCTTAACCATGTGTTTGTAGCTGGTAGAGATTCAAGGATGAGAGAGTGAGAAAACATTGCAGACTGTCTATAGGCAAACCATTCCTATGATAAATTATAGTAACTTTCCCAGCAGAAACTTCTTTCCTTCTATTCTTCTGGTTCT